AAAAATCTCATGAAGATATGGGGTTTATGGATGAGTTTTGAGAGAAAAAAGTGAAGGATTTCAGTGTAAAAGGAGAGAAATGAAGAGTAATTTCGGTTACACCTTTATATATAGGGATGTGTTTTCAGCCTTAAAGGGCCCAAGGCTTTGAGATTTTGGTCCTTAATGGGCTTGGCCTTGTGTTTTTGGCCAAAAAGTAGAGGATTTCGGCCATAGCAAACCAAAAAATCCATACTTCTTGAATCAACAATCGAAAACACCTTTCTACTTTGATTCCACAAACCGAAATCAACATTTTCTTAGATTCTTTGGACCGAAAACCTTATATAGGGTATTATTCTATGGTTGTAAACTTAAATTTTTGGCTTATGTTGATTTATACTAAAATAAATCAACTTGTGTTTCAATCTACACTTAGTTATTAGGTCTTTAAACATGCCCTCAAGGATATAGATGATAAAAATGCTACAAGGTTGAAATGTGGTTTCACTTGTACTTGGTTAGGGTTTAGACCATGTTGGTGCTAAAATTTTCGGATTGTTACAGTACAGTTAACCAGAGGTTCTTTTAGAAACTATTGTAGAGAAATGGCTGTTTTATGTGATGCATTGTGGTATAGATAATTGCTTGTTTGATGTATATTAGTTGATTTTAGTTTGCTACATGTATGTTGATTAATTGTATATGAACGGATTGGATAGCCCTAGAATGATCGAATCCGCCTTTGTTCCTATTCCTTGTTTGGTTGTGGACTTCGGGTAGATTCGATTATTCGACAGTCTATTTGATCTTGTGTTGTGTACAACAAGCATGCATAAAATCAATCGGTGGTGCGAGAGCGTGGTTGATCCTAGGAAGAGTACCTAGGAAGTCAGATGTTGCTTGTAGCGGAAGTATTATTGGCATATCTAAGGGTGGTCTAATATAGTGACATAGGACCTTGGGAGGAATTCTTAATCGACTACGGATAGGTGTGGAAGGTAGCATGGGCCTGTACTACTAAAATCACAGGATCCATATGAGATTCAGGAGAAACTTCAAGGCTGCTAAGTGACTAATAGGAGTAAGGCCTGGCATGCAGAGCTATGTATTGTGATGTATAGTTTTTTCTTGGTACATTTCAGTATGACAACTATTGGAGGTTCAGAATCAGGAGTAGGAGCATGCGAACATGATAGGCCAGGATTAACTGAGGACCAGGTTAAGGAGATCATTCGTGAGGAGGTTGTTTCTTTTTTCTGGGAGCAGATATTAGAGCTGGTTGGGCTTGTCAAGGCTATTATGATTGAGTACTTCGATGATCGATATGCTACCCTTTCTGAGGTTGTTGTTGCTATAGCGACCACAGTTGTTGCTTCCATTGCGGTTTTAGGAGAAAGAGCTTTCCAGTATCGGGACTTCGATGATACGAAGCCCCCGGTGTTTGTCGGAGTTCAGGACCCAATCATTGCCATGAGGTTGTTGTTCGATGTGGAGGGATGTTTCTTTACCTACTCTTGTATAGCTGACTAGAAGGTCAAGTGTGCCCTGAACCTTCTTTGTTCGGGAGCGAAGGATTAGTGGAGGCTGGTTACTAGTTCATACACTCCGGAGCAGCGAGCTACAGTATCATGGGAGCAGTTCTCTTTGATGTTCTTCTCGAGATATGTTCCACTAATGGAGCGAGAAAGGCTGGCCTAAATGTATTGGATCTAAGGTAGGGGTCTGAGTTGGTGACGGAGATCACGACGATGTTCATAGAGAGAGCTATGTCTTGCCTTGTGTTTGCTAGCTTCTGAGCAAGCTCAGATGACCCGATATTAAGCCAAGCTTAAGTCGGATATTTGGAATTTTCTATCTACTCAACGATATGGTTCACTGGTGGATTTGCAGGAGTCTGCTAGGCGGCGGGAGATTGAGATGGAGATCCGGGGGAGGGGGCAGATGCAGGTGGTGGTTGTTGAGGCCAACAAAATAAATACCCTAAATATTACACACTAAAATATTGTATAGTGGTAAAGGGATCGTATCCATAGAGATTGGTTCAATTTGTTACTTCTATGATAATCTTGGTTTACAAACACTTGTAAAACTAAAATAAAATAAAATAGGGGGATTTTGATCTTTCAAGATGTTTAAAATAAAACTAGAATTACATTAACCTTTAAAAACACAATTCAACAAAAGAAAAGTTTGATGTAAAATCAATAGGAGAAAGATGGTTGACTTTAGAGTTTCATTACTTGAACATTTGGTTAAATAATCATGAGAATACCAAGGTGCAATACTTGTGTTTATAATCTAATTTGGCTATAGCAATTTATAAGCATAACTTGCCTCAACTCTTCTTTTGTATTAAAATGACTAGAGAAGCTCATAGCACATTACCTAAATCAAAGTCACAAAACCAAGGAAGCATGTAATTTTGTGAAAATCAATTAGCGTTGGGTTTTAAGAGTCACCAAATCCAAAGAGTAATCTATTGCTTTCATTACCACTATGGAGAAAATATTTTCTTAGTCTAAATGAAATGAAAACAAACATTTAAACTAATTGTTGCTTGTTAAATTGAAGACCCATTACTTAGCCAAGAATTTAACCAACAAAGATAACATTCATATATCAATATTCATGACTAGAGATATATAAACATGAAGGAAGTTTTCATAGAAAATATAATCATAGATTTTCAACACAAGTTCATGGAGTTCTTCAAAATAACCAAAACATTCAAGAAATTACATCCAAGTCAACCAAATGAAAATCTAGCCAAGCATGGCTAAGATTAAACAAAAACAAGAGGGATTAGAGATACCAAACATTGTCTTAGATGCAAGATAAAAGGAAATTACACTAATCTTCCAAATATTCTTCAAATCTTCCCAAAGCTTCTTGGAGAGAAAAAAGTGGAGTATGTTCTTCAAGTGCCCCCTAAATGAGCCTCCAATCTCCAGCTAAAGAGAACCAATTTCCGGATTCAAAAAGAGACCAAAATCTACCCACCAAACTTCCACAAATAGAGTCAAAAAGTCAATACCCGGAAACGACTCAGCACAATTCACGCGGACCGCGTATGGACCCACGCGGACCGCGTGGGTTACGCTGAATGTGAAACTTGGGCCATTTAACATGCATTTAAGCCTAATCTTCATTTCTTTAACTTCAGCTCATAATCATAACTCTTTAAGACCCACTTGCCATTCCAAAGCCTTCTAATGGTTGACCCAATACTCCTCAAATTTTCTTGTAGCTCGATTCCGCACCGTCTCATCATCATCTTTGCCCATGAATTAGATCCAAATTGATTTCTTCTTTTACGCAAGCACCAAGCCCAATCGCACCACTTCAAGTCCGCAAGAAAATCACATGCCTCCATGAGTCCCGCATCCTTCTAAGCCTCCAATAACAAATAGTCTTCGGAAAATCCTGCAATTAAGCTCAAAAGACTACAAAGCACCCGGTAAAGGAGAAAAATGACAAAAAAGGAAAAAATATGCATGAAGATTGACTAAAATGAGATGGTTTGGACTAAAAATAAACTATGAAAAGAAGTAATAAAAACGAAACTATCAAATCACCTCAAGCTTGAATCTTACTTGTCCCCAAGTAAGACAAGACTAAAATGAACTTGGGACGAACTACCCTAAAAATAAAAAGAATGGATAGAACCATGGAACCTGTTCATCATTAGTCAACATGGTCATAATTGATCCCGCTGCTATCTCACAACTTTTTCATCCGATGACAATGGGATCATAAACCATAGCCAGGACAACTCCTCTAGGTGAGTAAGGAGGGATGGTCAGTCGCAGCCTCAATGGAACATGCATACAATGAATAACATATGTATTAGGGAGAAAGCGACTGAATGGGCTCGAATGGAGTTCTTCTTTAAGTGCACACTCTGATCTCACGTCTGCCAGCTTCTCTCATGTGTAGCTAGGTTTAATCGCTCGGGCACCCATTGTAGGCATCGACTCACTTAGCGTTGGCCCGAACCTCCTGTAGTATCCGAATCAACAACCTCTCTAATATCACCAATTTGCGAAAAGAAACAACTCGATCTATGTACAAATATACAATCCTAAATAAATGAATATTAAACACCGGGAGACCGAGATGTTGGAAAATTTGTTCAATAATTGAACCGGCCACCTGCCTAAGATAGTTCTGGTGCCATTTGTTTTTTTTAAATAAATACAGCATACTTGAAGGTAATGTATTAACAATCGAAATCAAGAAAACCCTTTTACTCAAAATTTGGTTCCCAAAAGTGTGTAAGTGGAACCAGAAGGGTAGTAATATAATCCGAATGGTCTAAGTGTGAAAATGACCATGTGTGGAGCATAAAGATGTAATGTGAGCTCCTTTATAAACATTTTTTTTTGTACTTCAAACAAAAAAAAAGATAAAAATGTCCAAGTATGGACTAAAAGACTCTCTAAAATCCTAAGAAAATCGCAAAAAGATATGGTGATGTAAAGAGGCCGGATATGGATTCTACTCATGGACAAGCACCAGTGCTTCATCCTAACGGTTCTAACATGATCAAGTGTGATCCTCTCGGCGGTAGTGACCGCAAGGGTAAGACATTTAGTGCTATAGTATATCCTATAGTCGTTAGTATTGTATGCATAATTCTTCATGAAAACTACTTGGCCATGATCACTTACCCCTTTAAGCTACCAGCATCTGATCCCAAGTATGAAATCCCAAGCTGCAGCTAGTGGTCCCGGTTCGATGGGTGAGACAGCAACAAGATCCTGGACCAATAATGTTACAATAACTATGAACCTGTTCCATGGCATCCAAGAGAGGTGAGAATAAACAGAAAACAAAAATGCATGAATGCTAATGCCCTAAGCTAAATGCTATGGAAAAATAAAAGATGAAAAAGAAGAAAATAAAATCTTTTTGGGGTTTTATATAAAAAAAATGAATGCAATTTATACTAAAATGCTATGCAACCTAATTAAAATGCATGTTAAATTAAAAAGAAGAAGGAATACCCCACCCCAAGCTTAGAAATAAGCATTGTCCTCAATGCTTGTGGTGAGGCGAAAGTACCTAAACCGGGGGATCGGGAGGAGGATACGGGTATTGGGGGTAGGGGTAAGGGTAAGGTGGAGGGGGATAAGGATAGGTGGGTGGTGGTATGGATAGGGAGGCGGAAGTGGAACATTCTCAAAATGGTTTTGGGATTGGTGCCACCCCCACATATGGTGCATTTGCTGGGACATGATTTGGTTTGAGACACAAAGCGACTCGAACCGCTCGACAAAATTGGGGGGAAGCGGGTAGTACCCGGGAGGGGCTTGTGGTTGGGCGTGTTGCAGATCATGCGTGGGCGTATCATCCATAGGTATCTCGTCATCATCTTGATCTTGCATCACATCCTCATTGATTGACTGAGTGATGGTCCTCGCGAGCCTCCATTGAGTGCGATCGTGGAAGGTGAAGTTGGTGACTCGAGGGTCGGGGAGAACGAGATACCCGACCCCTTGAGGACAAAACCAAGTGAAGCTATTCCTATTCCTGCGACGGATGTGGTGCATGTTTATGAGGGCATGGTCATCCAAAAGATTTTTGCTGTCAACAGACTGGAATTCATCAGGGAGCTCGATGTCAAGACCGCGAGCCAAAAGTGTGACAAATCCCCCAATGCAAATATCACCGGACGTCTTGGATCTCATGTGGGTGCATTTATGGAAGAAGAATGAAGCGAAGTCTGGGATTGGCGGCCTTTCATGCCTTGTCATACACCAAAGGAATAAGAGTTCATTTTTGGTGACTTGGCCGGCTTCTTTTCGGGCAAAAACCATACACACTAGGATGCGATAGGCAATGCGGAGGCATGGGTGGATGATAGATGTTGCTTTACCCCGACCGACACACGAAAAGATACCCCTGGTGATTTCCATCCAAAATGTCTCGTGATTGAACTCAGCAGGTACAACGTCGTGAATCGTGGATGTATTTGAAGAAGGCAAGCCTAAGATGTCGTTTATCGTTGCAAAATCGATGTACCTTCGGTCCCCTAGAAGCTAGAATGCGGCTTTCTTTTTTTCGATGTCGTACCCACTGTCGGCAAGAAACTCTCTAGTGGGGAGCCCGTAAGTGTAAGCCAGGAGATTGAGAAGGTTTTCCCACCCAATGTTACGGAACAACTGGGTGACCCCTTCGAGAACCCCAAGTGATATAAGCGCGGGCTTGCACACGAATTTGGTAGATGCAACTTTTCTAGGCAAGCTCTTTGTGTAGTTTTTGGCTGTCTTGGCTTCCCGAAACCTTGGGACATCGGGAGCATCGCTTTGATCTCTTGTCGGGGCTTTGCCTCGGCTAGCAGCCGAACGCTTCCTAGAAGTAGACATGGACTTCATGCACGAAAAAAATAACCACTATACGAACCACAATTTCAACAAACAATATGTCAACCCCAAATCACCAACTAACTTCCTATGGGCTTCTAAAGCAATTCAATAATCAAAGCAAGAAGGGATTCCTAAATTCATTTGATACAATAGCATATGAACGGACATGCATCTTGACCAATTAAACAAAGGAAAGAAAATACCCGCTTTTGTTGAAAGTTCAAAGTTTGCATGCGAAAATTTGGGATTTGAAGATCTTGCAACTCTCCACCCCAAGCTTTAAGCTTTTGTTTGATATCCCAGGAGAAGCAATTTACCGTGAAAACCCGACGAATCCGGCAATGGCTTGAAGTTCCGGCGAAATGTTTCGGCGAGCTTTGGGAAATATTTTTGGTGGGGTTTGTAGCCTTGCCCAAGAGGAGTACAATGGTGGTGGCGGAATCGCGAGAGGTGGCCGGAGTTGGCCGGAAATCAGCCGGAAAGTGGCGATGGGATGGTGATGGCGCCCCGAGATATAGCAACAGATCGGACCGTTGTTTTAGTGGGGTTCGTAGAGCTCTGAATTTGGAAAAGAATGGCGGTGGTCTCGAGAAATTCCCGGCCGGTGGTTTGACGGGAAAGTGAGCTTTAGTGGTGGAAATGAAGGTTCTCCAATGGAGGTTAGGGAGAAGAAGAAGTGGGGAAGAAGGAAGGGTCGGCTGGGTATAAGGGGGCTTAAATGGCGGTCAAGCCTGGTAAAAAACGAGTCAACACTGGTCAACAAGTCACATGGACGCTGAGTCAGGTACACGCGGTCCGCGTGGGTTAGCCCATAGCCATTTTGATTTATCCTTCACGACACGCGGTTGCCTCCTGCCCACAAACGGTCCGTTTTAATAAACACGCGGACAAGGTTACGATAACACGTGGACCGCGTGAACTTCACTGGATGTCTTCTGTTTTCGGTTAACGGACGCGGACACTAGAGGGACCACACGCGGTCCGTGTTAATAAACACGCAGACAGATACTCGAGCATACGCGAACCGCGTGGGTTGAGCTGAAACTCTTATGTTTTCCTGATAATGGACGCGTACGATCGTGGAACTACACACAGTCTGTGTTAATAAACACGCGGACGGATACTCGATTACACGTGGACCACGTGTGCTGGCTTGACATATTCCAACATTCTTTTTGCTCTTTCACCATTACGAACACCGGGCCGTTAACTCCAACATTCTTTTATCTCAATAAGGAAGAAGAAAAGATGTTAAATAAAAAAATGAACCAACCACGGCATTTATTCGGAACTAGAAAAGTTGAAAACTTTAGTTTTCCAAAAATGCCCTTCTTTAACGTCTTTGGTGAGACGTGCTTCCTTCTTGATTTCAGTACACCGGGGCATCCAATTGGATGACTTCTAAAATGTTTGCATTAAAACCTTCATAGAAAGGTTTCAATCGATGCCCATTGACTTTAAAGACTTGCCCCGTTTCTTCACTTTGAATTTCAACCGCTCCATGTTCAATGACTTTTAACACAACAAACGGACCTATCCATCTTGACCTCAATTTTCCTGGAAATAATTTCAATCGCGA